GGGGGGGGGGGAAGGGTTGCCGCAGATGCTGGTTAAGATAAGCAATAAACCCTAATAAACCCTAAGTAGGAGAAGCCCAACCCTCCCCCCAAATTACAATCCAAATATAGATAAATGAAGTTAACACACCCAATTTATGTTGCATAAATAGATTATATTGTGGTAGAAAAAAAGTATACAAAGTTCAGATTACAAAACAGATCAGCTGATGCATATAAATATATGCCATACAAAATCAAATGCCTAAAATGGTACAATAAAACAAGCATACCAAAATTGAAACAAATAGCTACTTAGGCAGAGGACCAGAAGTGAAGCCAATAAAACCCATTGTATTGGGGGTAATCAATTCCTTTATCAAGGGTTCCTCCTTGAGAAAGGGACTGATTATGCAAAGTGAACAGCCTCTACTGCTCCCCAATGAGTTGTTGTCCATGCAGATCAAAGCAGCAGGTTCACTTTAATACCACCCTCTCCAGCCACATGTACTCGCCTCCCTTTTACTCTCCCATCACTCAGTTCAGTTTTGGAAGGCGAGTTTGTGCTCTTGGAGAGGGAGGCATTTTAGTAATACTGTTTTTGTATTTGTCCCTGAATAGGCAAAGCACAGGTTGGCTTGAAGCTTGCTTCAAACATCCGTTTTTCTTCTTTCTTTTGTTGTTGCTGTTTGCTAGTATTTGTTTTTGACTTGCGATATGAATATTTGTTTATGCCACATTCATTCAATCATGATCATAAATGTTTTGATCAATTGCTACAACACTATTAAAAACCATTAACACATTCCCATTCTGTGCAGTAGCTTCCTTTTCAGTTTTAACTCTCAAGAGTACCATTTTTCAGAGTTAATCTTTACTTTGCATACACTCACTCTGTAATGTTTCATTCTTACAGTGTGTATAATGGCTCCTGGGGAGGGGAGCATCTATCTATCTATCTATATACACATATATACATACACACATATACATACACAAGCCTGTTAGGGAACAAACAAAAGGATGAACCAAAAGGCACTCTTAAACTGAGCGGTGGCCCAGTCACATACCTTCCCTCCATTCCAGCGCCCATGCTTTGCCAGTGTCTTCACCATTTCACACTTGGGAGTGTTCGATGACTGTGTTCCCTGCAGTATGCCTTAGTATTATGTCACTGCTGTATTCTGTAGTGACATAGGGGGTCAGAGGATGGAGCTGGAGCGCACAATGGTGGGCAAAGGCATCTGACATTCCCAGAAGTGTTAAATTGTTTTAAATAGAAAATTGAATTTGGACTGAGCCTGCAGTGCTGGAATGAAGGGAAGATGGGAGGCAGGGCCACTGGAGAGATGTGTATGAGAGCCCTTCTTTTATAGGACACTTTCATCTTTATTTCTTAAACTGACGGGGTCGCTTTAATAAAGTGTTTATTACAGCTTCTGCTGTAGAACATTGTTTGCATTACAATTTAAATGTAAAATGAAAATAATACATAGATGCACAGTTGTAGCAGACAGTATACAATGTATGCATACCTTGGCAGTTTTGAAGCCCATGCTTGTCCACTGGGTGGTAGCAAAGTGCACAGTTTCAGAAACACTGTAGCCACAGCACACTTTCGACACAAAGGATCCTGGTAAGCAGACAACAAACTGCCCGCTCTGCTGTACAGTACGGTGTACTTTGATCCCCGCTTTGCAAAGCACCTCTGGGGAGATCTGCAAAAAGGATATAGGTTATATGAAGCTTGCTTGTTGATCACAATATCCAAGCAGCAGGCAGTTGGGGAAGTGTAAGGACGCAATGCCCTATCCTCCCTCTTGACAGGCAGCCATGACCGACATTTTGTTTAGACTATAGGCACAATGCTAGAGAAATGAACAACATTACATAAGAAACAGAACCCCCTACACTGTACAATGACCTGTCAATTAGTAAGCAAACCTTCAATGTCATGTCAGGAGAGAGAGAGAGAGAGAGAGAGAGAGAGAGAGAGAAGGGTCACAAAGGGATTTCTATGTTCTAGTTTAGCCATCTGGACAATGAAAGTACTTCAGTGTATATAGGGCAAGCACATACCAATGCTTTTACTGAATGAATTCATATTTTACAGTTACTAATAAAGTAGCTTGTTTTAAAGTGCATCTATAGCCAAAATTGTTTTTTGTGAATAGTGTAGGGAAGGGTTAAAATCCCTGCCATGTTATTGTATACAGTCTGTATACCATGGGAGACATTTTACTTCACTTCCTGTCCCAGAGACACAACAGGAAGTTAAGAGCAATCTCCCAAACAGGTATCCCCATGAAAAGATTTGCCCAAAACAGTCACCAGTTTATACCGAGGGATGAGTCTTCCCAGTAGGGACACGGACAGCAATAAAACCCCGTCAGAGGGTTTAATCCTTCCCCACGTTATCCAAAAACAAAAAAGGCTTTGCCTTGAGATGCACTAACATCTTTTTAAGCTTAATAAATGTTACTTGTAAATAAGTTGTGAAAAGTCCAGGTTCCCAGCAGAAAAGTGAAGAGGTGTCAAACTCTTTAAACGTGCATATATCGACATACGGCACACTCATGAAAACCTATTTATACTTTTTTTTTCTTCAAACACAATAGTTGAGAATCATATTCATGAGGTTCTGTAGAAGTAGGTGTCCCATCTCAAAGAACCTTGTCACACTTTCCTTTGCCTGATGGAGACCATATACGGTTCTGAAACGTTGCACCTAGATGCTGCCATGTTAATGATGGGAAGATAAAGTGGACCCTGGTGTGCTGGTGGCTTATCCTTCTCCATCTCAAAGAACCCCTTGCATTGATCCTCAGCTTCCCCCTTCACTGTCACCCAAGATAATCATCTAAAATGAACATTAGCAAGCTGTCGTCACAGGGTCCCTACCTCCAATACAAAGCTGAGGTGAGAGTGCTCTACCAGCACAGGGATGGTATTAGGTAGGCATTACAGAGCCCATTTTGGCTGATTTGATTAGATGACAGCAGGGGGTGGACAGACAAAGTTGAGGGTCAGGTTAAGGTCTCCACACACCTTACAATAATCGTACGATAATCGCGGGAAATCCTGCGATTGTACAATTATCGTAAGGTGTGTGGATTGTATTTGATGGTCAGCGGGCCTCTGACCACCGGAGTGTAGAGGGAAAGAGGCTGTGGGTTCCGGGCGGGTAGCCAGAAGTGAGACTGAAGAAGTGGGGATCAGGTAATAAAAGTAAATTTTCCCTGGTACCCTGGACCTAAACGAGCATTCAATTCTGGCAGAGTGGAGGCAGAAACACTGCAAGGGGAGGGTTTCTTTCTACTAAATTCTGCTGTAATTTGTCAAAGTGTAACACTTGCAGATATTTTGCATCTTACAAAAAGATCACAGCCCCCCCCCCATTTTTTCGTTTTTGTTATCCTCTTTTCTCCTTAACGGGCAGGCACTATCTTTGTTAAGTCATTACCCAGAGTGTGCATTTTCTTTTTGGACTGAGATGGTGACACAAAGTTAATACAATGATGTAAATCCTGGTGCATGCACAGTAGCCTTTATGTCCTTGGCTATGTACATGTTGTCTCACACCATTGTTTACTTGCTAGAAAATTACAATGTCACAATTGTTTCAATGAGTGATGACTGGGGGAGGGAGACTGAGGACGTGTTCTCATTCTGTCTGCAGAAATGTAATAACATTGTTCTCCAGCATGCTTTTCTAAAGCAGACCTTGGAGATTGAGCCTAGGCACAGTCACTCCAGGCCCTTATTGGAAAATCTACAGATTTTCTTTTTAATTTAATTCTACAGATGCTGTATATACTTACATGTAAGCATAGGCATGCACAGACTATTGCATTCGGGTGTGCACACAAAAGTACAAACACACACACAATATATATACACATATACACACACATACATACATATGTATACATATACACACACAGACCTGAGGCATCCCAGATTCCCATCTCTTCAACTGTCCGTTACTTTTTCCAGCAGGGGTGCAGTACTGAAACAGGGAGCCTGGCAGATGGCCACCCGCCCTGCTTCCTGATTGTATGGGAAGCTGCAGCCACGCTTCCCAGACACAGAGGACTGTTATGTGGCAAGTGCTGCTGCGCTCGGTTTCGATGAGCCGGTCACAGAGAGATCTTTGCGATTTCTCCAGCGGCTCAGTGACTAAAAACATGGTACCCGCTGTTGCGCTTGGGGTGATTAGGGTTTGCCCAGGCACAACTGGCACACCATGTGCGCATGCCTATGCATGTAAGGAACATATTCATGTACTGGTACACGTTACTGAAAGGGCCACTTTAAGGTTCAAAGGCAATCAGGTGACACTATAATCAGCTAATAACTGAAAACTACGGCAGTAACATTTATTATAATATGGATAATGATAAAATATTTTTGCATAGATCAAGCCACAGTTTTTGATGTCTTCATAATGGCAAACAGCATGTTCCTTGCTAAGACAATGCGCCAGAGAATACACTTACCATGACGTTACTTTCAAGCATTTGCAGACCAGGAGTACCATTGGCTTGAAGTAGAGTGTGTACCACTTTTTCAAGTTTACTCTCTTCCTCAGCAGGAATGCAATACCTAGAATGCAACAAAACCAATTTAAGATCAAAATATTCATTATAAGATAGCAAATGTAGTGAGTAAACCCATATCAACCAGTATTAACGCCACAAAATCCATCTAAAACACAAAGCCATGACCAACGACTAGCCAACATTCCATGTGATATTGCAGAAAATGTAGCCATCTAAACAGGTTACAAACGACACATAGCATGCTTATAGAAGTGTAAGAACCAGGTTTGAAATTCACATAATACATCAGTGTTCTCACAGTAGTAATAATAACTAGAAACCGTATTAAAGAGGAACTTTACCCTTATCTTCAAAATGACAACAAAGGCACCTTTAGAAATGTTTAGTAATGACAATCTACAAACAAATGCCTCTAGATAATTGCAGCTTTTGGTTTTTTTTTGCATTCCTTATTTTTCTTTTCTTCCCCAGTATTCTGACAGTGACCATTTTAACTAAGGGCAGGTTACTAGATCTCCCTTTACTTCCTGGAACTTGGGCACATGTGATCATGCACATCATCTCAGGGTAGGGAAATGCCTTTCCCTGAGATCCCATGAGATTTCCCAGCAATCCTCTGCTCATGTAACCTTCCCAGGATGCAATGTTTGGGCACGATTACATCATTTGTGCCAAAGTGGACCAGGAAGTGGGAAAATAGAAATTTTAAGTAGGTATGTTTAGCTAATGAATGTAAGATGATTTCATATCAGCATTCAGAGCTGTATGCTGATGTGATTTTTAGTCAAAGGGAGTAAAGGGACTTGGTATAACTACATGTGGCTCCCACAGTCACGTATAAAACAGCCAGAAGTCTGTCATATAGATTTAACGTATATCAAAAGTCAAACAATTTTGAGTTTTAGTTAGAGTTAAGAATCTTGTCAGTATTTTTCCATTGATGTCCAATTGTGGAGATTTTCATTTATTTCCTGTGTTGTAGACACAACATGAAGCAAGAGGAAATTCTCAAAAAAAGGGGGGGGGGGGGTTATTTTCCTTTTAGCCCTTGTTGAAAGATTTCCCCTTTATTCCTGTTCTGTTGGATTTCTTCTCATTTCATTCCTGGCGACAGTGGTCACTAGGACAAGTAGAGAGTGAATATCCCCAGTAGAGGCACAGAGCGCAATAAGTACCCGACAGGTTTGCGACCCTTTCCATACCGTAGCCAATTTTTTTTTACAAAGTTTACATATTCTAAATAATATCTACATGTTTATAAATAGAGGATAATGTAAGCAGGAAAGGCAGCAATAACAAAAGCAAGCACCAAGATACTTAATATATGTTTCTGTTGCCGACTGGCAGGCCTTGATGTGCCCAAAAACACAAAAATTTTACAAATTCCTTGTCCTCAAGAAATACATATTTATTTTAAGAGAATTACAAAATGAAAAGGAATACTCACAACAATAAAATAATGTATCACTTAATATAATCAACAGTTGGGCTAAAACAGGCACAACCAGAATAAAACCATATAACCATCACAGGTATCAAACAATGAAGCCAGTGTGGCACATAGTATGGCTAACGCGTTTCTGAACCTACCAGGTAGTCTGGCTGTTTAGGCAAAAGGCCATTCCCACATGTCTGCATTAACCCGTGCAGACATACTATGTACTGCTGGCTGCGTTCATTTGGTACTTTGTGAAGACTATATGGTTTTGGTTTGATCATGCCTGGTTTAGCTTGACTTTAGATCATATTGAGTGATACATTCTTTTATTCCTGCGAGTACCGTCTTACAATTTTTTGGGATAATAAATACATATTTCATAAATACAAGGCACATTGTCCATTCTGGTGTTTTTTTATGTAACATGCCCAGCTGTGGCATGAGCTGCATGTCCTCTGAGGAATTTGGATACAAATTGGTGATCTAGTGTGGTTGCATTTGCAAAGACTCCAGATGTTGTTAGCACTGAGAAAATTGATTTTGGACTATATTAAAGTGATCCCATGTTTGAAAGAACGCTGCCTCCAGCATTAAGCTCATTCATTTTTATTGCTCTCCCAAGAAGTACGTTCCTCCCAACTGAGAAAGTACTTGAAACTGAGTGGAACATGGCCAAGAAGCATATAGGTGCTGAATGCACTTCTCTGTTTAGATCCCATGTGTGCAAAGACTAAGGCCAAGCTCTGTGGTCTTGAAAAGAGTGGCATTTGTGTATTCCTGGAGTTGTGAAACCTCATTCTATACCCTTATTTCACCCAGGAACACACAATGTTCTAAAAATCCATTATAAGGAATTTCATTAAGGTGTGATTGTTGCTGTTGTCTTTAAAATGTTGATAATTCAATAAGACTGGCATTCATTAACGACAAATTGGGAAAGCAATCTAATGTCAATGGGTCGTGTGAAGGTATACCCTCGTGACACTGCCAGGTATCACTCACTTTTGCAGCGTATATGTGTTCTGTTAATAAAAGCAGCAAAAGGTGTTTCTAAACGGTATGCTGCATATTCTTTGAATGCAATTTTCAGTACACTAAAAAGTTCACATTAGGGATGTGCAATATTATAGACTTGCAGACATTCGTAATGCTGGGTGTAAGGCAGTGAACCTTAATGAAGCACAGCTTCTTATTCTATAAAATCAACATTTATAAAAATATAAAAATTAACATCTTAAATCTGCTTTCAGAAAAGACCCAAAACACATAGGTAGAAAAAAGCTTGGAGATCTGTACAGTTTCCTTGCTGATAGTCTATTGCTGTTTGTTAGATTAGGTATAGCTGGAAGGCTCCATCAACCACTTGATTTTTTTAACATTATGCAGATATACATTTTTATTGTAGGTTTGGTAAAAAGGCTCATGAAAGGAGTATAGTACTTGTTACAGTCCATATACAGTAGGGATGCACCGATACCGATACAAGCATCGGTATCGGCCGCGATACCGAGTATTTGCATGAGTACTCGTGCAAATGCTCGGATGTCTAAAACGAGTACCTGTGTCCGCCATCTTCCACCGCCGCACACAGCACACAGGACCGCGTCTGCATTCATTCAAGATGGCCGTGATCTCCTTCTCCATGGGCGAACGGCCGAAAGCAGACTCCGCCTTCAATTCCTCTGTCCTCACTCGTGATTGGTGGGGAAGCCTGTCAATGATATTGCAACTTGCAGGTGCAAAAAAAAGGATTCCAGCCAGGGAATCATAGCTGAGTGAATACAGCATGAATAAATATAAAATAATTGTTTTTTCCATTGCTTAATCAATATTATATAAAATAAAGATTAATTTATCTTTGACCATGCTGTATTAATATAACATGGGCCGGCTGTTAGTTGTGTGAATGAGGTCTTAAGCTAAATTAAGGTTTTTTCACTTTTCTACACAATTCCATCTGCTCCATCCTATCCATACGCCATCTTGTGGCCTTTTTTCAAATGGCACGTTGAGATTTTACTAACTTTCGTTGAGTACAACTTTGTGACAATTTAAGCAAAGTAAACTTATTTTTTGACAGTCATGTTGTCTTTTGAGTTACAGTTCTTCATAATATTAAGAAACTGACCTAAAATCATTATTTTGTATTGCTTTGGAAAAAATGTGATCTGCCCCTTTAAGAAAAAGTATCGGTAATTGGTATCGGCGAGTACTTAAAAAAAAGTATCGGTACTCGTACTCAGACCCAAAAAAGTGGTATCGGTGCATCCCTAATATACAGTATCTCAAGGGCACACACAGCTCGTTCCGTTAACCAGCTTTCCTTACATTTTTTGTCAAGCCATAAGTTGCAATGTTGATCCATGAGCCAAGGAGGTTACATACATAGATACTGAACATAAGATGGATATGGTGAAAATACATTTACTGCAAGTATATTAACTTAATATTGACACTTCTGGCTAGATTCCTCTTAAATTTGAACCAAATATTAGTACCAGATTTGGTAAACAAAGATCTGGCTCATTCTGCATCCCAACTGTGTGCAAAATGGAGCCCGCAATCAAAAGGTATATTATGTATTTTAATAATTAACTAAAATACTGTAAACTAGGCAAAATATGTACAGGCTGCAATGACTTAAAGAGTAAGAAAATTGTCCCACAAAGTTTCGTTACCCTTTTAACCCCACCCCTCTAGGGGTAGCCTGCCCCTGCCCACAACCCCATTCCCAAATCACTATACATACCTAGATGTCTCTCTGAGGCCCATGGAATTGTTTATACACCTCAGCTGGTTTCTGATGTCTGTGCAGTTTGCCTTCATTGATCTCCATGGGGTGGGTAGACAGGCTGAACTGCGCACGCATGGACATCAGTATTGGTAAATGGGTAAGGAAACTTCATGGGACAGTTTCCTTACCCTTTATTCTTGCTTTATTATAAAAACATTGTTTGGGAATGCGCAGTTAAATTCTAATACCAACTGATAAATAAATACTCTCAGATATATCAACCCTAAGGGCTTGTTCACAACCCAACCAGCACGGTTAGTGGCTGCAACACATCGCATAATTAAGCCTCCCTGCTTTTTTTTTGGTTTGGGGGGGTCTTGGTGGTGCCATTCAAGTCAATGGCATTGACCCCTAGCCTCCCACCCGCACCAGAACACGTGGCACAGCAATGCCTGTGGTGCGATTACTAAAAATAGTGCATACACTATTTTTTTGCAATTGCACTGCATATGGGAAGCGCGGCTGTGGTGCCATAGACTTGAATGGCACCACCACGCCCCCTCCACCTCAGAAAGCAGGGAGGCTTAATTAGGTGATCCAGTGCGTTCCAGGACTGCGTAAATTGTCAGCACTATATAAAAATACCTGTAATAAGTAAATAAGGGCAAATTCCATATTTGCTAGCTTGCAAGTATGGGTCTTATCAATCTGACCTGATATGTTTACTGCAACAGAGCGTTGAAAATGAGCAGTTACTGAAATGTAATATGTACAGAAAGGCCGAATTACTTTAGAAATTAGATAAGTTACTTTTGAAGTAGACCGATGTGCAAAAGCGGGAGATATTTGAACAGCCTTGCCAGAATGGATAATGCCTGGATGACAAACATTCCTGGAGAAAATGCAATTTTAAGCTCCAGGCTTGCTTTAGTGTTGGTTTTATGATCTCTACTAAAGAGAAAGGATAGACCAGAGATCCATCTCAGCCAAGACTGTTAACAGATTTATGTTAATACTTGATTGTACATGTATGTTAAATAGGTCTGATAAAATTAAAACAAAAACAAAGATCAGGTAAATGGTCGTTAAAGAAAGCTATAATTATCAGTGTAAACACAAGATAGTTTTGATCAGGTAAATGATATGCGACATGTAAAGTTTACCCTGGGACATAATTTAGCTGTATTTTTTTTTTATATAGAGCTCAGTATACCTTATTACGGATTCCCTATAGAGTGTACTTTGAGATAATATAGTGCGCTATGAGAAGAAACAGACATGCACAACATTGTACAATCATACACAGAATTTCCCAAGGCAGCAACCAAAGACCACAGAATAATGAGACATAATACAGGCAGTAGGCTTCTTAAAAGCAGGACAGGTAGCAGTGCTTACCAAATGCAATCAGCACCAGTGTGTAAGTAGTCAATGTATGGAAGGTGATTTTGGTCTCGAGTCCAGCATGAGGTAGAAAAGACCATGCCGATATTAAGCCAAGGAATTGTTACTCCTAAAGGAGAAAAGAGGCATTACAAATGAAACACTATCTATCATATATGTTTTCAATGTATTGACATAAACGGAGGTATCATTATAAACATCATTACTACTTCGTTACAAGGCTCATACACATCAACACCAAGATTAAATATGTCAGCGTTACAGGTTAGAAAACCCGACAAATCTGATGCTTATGTTAGTAATACAAGAGTAATTCTAGGTATGTATTTCCTATGCTTCTGAGCTTCATCTAGTGGCCATCATGCTGTATTACATTACATTCAACCTGTAAAGAACATTTACTTAAAACACTCCTCTTTACCTACACTCACACAGAACGAACATTTACGAAGATTCTCAGTATGAATGTTCCTGTGAATTGTTTATAAATAGACCCCCTAAGTGTGGATTCTACAGCTGGCAAAAGTGAAGCTTAAAAAATATTTTCACTTGTGTCCCATCACAAATTGGCACCAGTCAGACCATTCTCCCTTTAAAATGGTCATACTGCTATAGAGCAATAAAAAGAGTTGAAACCACATAACACAACATAATGCATTAAATAAACAAGGAAGCATTCAGCTTCACTGACAAGTCTACCCTTAATAATAGGCTCTGCAATATCCTGCTTCTTTCACTTGCTATACAGAAATGTCACACCATGTACTACATGCAAGTGTTATAAAGACAATGTGAGCTATCATCATACTGTCTGATTCAGAACTAAAGTGCAAGTAAAGACAAAAACATATATAAAGCCGGTTTTGGATAATGTAAGGAATGGTTGCAAACCCAGTTTCCTCCGACAGGGAGATTTCCCTTTACTTCTTGTTCCAAAAAGTAAAAGAAAGAAAATCTCTCCAAAGCAAGGGGAACCAAAGCTGTAACCAGAATGATTTTTCCCATTGGAAGAATTTCTCTTACGTACTGCTCCTGTGAGGGCTCAAAAATTTTTAATTGCCCATCACTTTCTGTAATGGAGACAATGGTCAATAGGACAACTATATAGAGTAAATCTCACTAGTGGGGACAGTAATAAAAACTTGACAGGGGTTTTAACACATTAAACCGACTTGTTTCATAGACCTGTACCTCCTAAGTTCAACTTGCTCAGTATGTACAGAACTATTATACAGTATCACTTCTGAGACAAGGAGTGAAACTATATTATAAGAGTTAAAAGTATACCACTGAACCCAAAAGGGAGAAAACAGAACAGAGACAACAGTAATCACCAAACTGTAGAAGACACTGCTCCCTCCTGGCATCTAGCTGTCAAGCCCAGACAAACATTGGTTGCTCGCCAGCGGAGCACGCTCATGCTCCCAAGTACAAAAGTCCCAGAGTCACAATCCCCCTCCCCCCCCACCAATGAAGCTTGAACCGTGCAACAGTCCCACCTCTCGTCTTCCCCTCCCTAATGCGTCTCATTCAACATGGGCTTAATCATAGAGATATGATTAAGCCTGGGTAGGGTGAAACTCATTACAGAGGGGCACACCAGAACTGGGAAATGTGTTCGAGTTTCATTAAAGCTAATTTTATACAGTGACGTCATCGGTGTGCAGCTGATTGGGACTCGGGGACAACAGTAAGCCAAAGAACATGAAACCCAATTTCTCATAAGGTACATTCATTTATACTAAGGAGATTGATGTTCAGATTTATATTTTAAAATGAGTCTTAAATAGGAAGAATTTCTTTGCAGTGACATGCTAAGGATACTTTCAATTAATCATCCAACAAATTTATGTCTTTCATAATAATGAAAACAAAAAGGTGTATTACTCTGATAATGAGAACTTACCAGGCACAGCACCAAGGTGTCGCAGGATGGATCCTGAATTATTAGGAAGGACTGTGAGATTCCATCCATGCCTACAAAACACATGAAAAGGACACTAGAATGTAAATACTGTTGATTTTGCATGGTATTGTGAGCGAGCATAAGATAATTATCTCACCTTGAAAAGGGTTCGGCTTTACCCACAGGAAATCCACTTCCATGAGTGTTTGTGTCAACCTTTCCGCAATGCACAGCAACGTGGCAAGACTTCTGGTCAACAAGCCGCCAATATTCTTGCTGAAATAAGGGTTTCGCTTATTATTATCTGTTGAAGATTGGCCACCTCATCCCATAATCCCTTATTGCTTAGCATTATATTTTCATAGAAAATATATATTTCTCCCCCTAATTCCCTAAAAGCATCGTTTCCATAAAGACACTTTATTGATTTCACATTTGTTCAGATTTTTAAAATGTACATAGAAAATGCAGTTGAAATTTAGTTAGTTGCCATGAGTAGCAGTTTTCTTTTCTAGTTTTCATAAACCAGATCATACTTGGAGATGTAATCTGTGAAGCATTACCACCCTCTTTTTTTGCCAATTGGCAGTGTAAAGTCACAGCATCCGTCACTTCTAGGACCAGTCTCTGCAATCTTCATGGCCAGGGATCAGAAATCTCACAAATGTCTTAAGCTCAGGCATCCAATATAATGGGTACCAGGCTTGGCTCATAAGCAAGTTTACATTGGATTGACATGGTTCATTGGATGGACAGAGGTCACTGTGTTATGCAGTCCTCCATCTAATTTACAGCCTTCATTTGGGTTTTAGGTGTTAAATTAATATGTGCTGTATAAATATAATGGCATATCTACTATCATAGCAGTACAACCAGTCCCTGGGGCTTCCGAATAAAAAAAAAAAAGGACAGTAAGCAATACAGTCTGGTCCAGGACACACCCCAACCTATAACTGCACAAAGAAGGAACAGCACACTATTATACGCCTTCCTGTGCGCATGGTTCAATGGTCCTACCAGTAAGCAACTTAGTTCTGATGGTATTAGATTGCTAAACTCCCCTTCCCCCTCCCAGACTAAGCAGGAATTACAGATGTCTGATTCAGGTATTTCTACCAGTTCTAAGTAAATACACATGCAATGATTTTTTATGAATACACTGGATTGAATATTGTTTTTCATATATGCTTGGAATTCTTCTTTGTTTTGCAGCTCACTATTTGCAAAACTAAGCTAACTCAGTTTCTTCCATTCTCCTCTTCAGTAACTAAACTAAAACGGAAACTAAGAATAAACTGGGAAAGGAGAAGTCCAAAGAGAGGCTGGGAGACCACTAATTAACAGCAATATAATGTGTCTAGCGACAATGGCTACAGTGAACGCAGATTTTTGACATGACAAAATGACTCCACATACATTGAGAAGCAAGTCAAATCATGTATTTTCTCCCTTAAAAACTAATCATAAGCATTCATGATGGCAAACACAGGCAGAGAGAAGCTTCAAAATCATTTCTTGGTAAAGATAATACATGAAAAAGTATGTGTTAAAATAAAAAAAAATTTAAGAAATTCAACACAATAAAACGTATACTGTTTCTTTGAAAAAAATGATCAAGTACTGTGAACTTTGTATAATCACCATATTGACGCCCTTTACACAACTAAGGTCTATTACACATTAAATATTATACACACATTGACTCTGGATATTTTTCTTTTATTATTATACTAGACAGCTAAATTTATAAGTGATAAACAGAACACACAGCAGGTAGAAGAACTAAAGCAAATACCCAATAGTACAAAGCCTTGCCGTTTTTTAGATTGAAGCACTTGCAAACTGGGTTACAACCATTTTGGAGTCTGTGGAATTGTGTTTGTTGGATTACATTGCTTTGAAAATTCACACAACTCTTTGATAATGTAACATTAAATACCAATTGCCAAATGTATGTGACCCATCCCTGCATGTCTGTAAGTGTAATTTAGTTACTTCAAGACTCACCTCCTTATTCATGTAGTATTATGTTGTCCACACTTTGATTTATAAACATTTTCCTATCATTTCTATTGATAGGAGCAAATAGCATATTTCAAAGTGTTCTTGTGTGTACCTGTTGTAACTATTACGGGATGACTGTTAAAAATACTTTGTCAATAGATCAAGAAGGGCATTTAATGTGTTGATCTATAAAATTATGGAGTACACCTTTCAATGTATAGTAAATGAAATGTCATGTAACAGGATTTTATTTTACCAAAAGGTAGGTGCTTTCAGAGTTTGCTGCTACATACAATTGTATGGCTTCCTTTCTTAATGCTGCTTGTGTTGCCGTTATTTTACTAAAAAAATAGACAAGAGGTGAAACTTTGACGTGGACAAATTATTTAAAGAGCATGGCTGGTAAATAAGCATCTAGTGGCTATAAGGTGGCATTTTCAGAATGTTAAATTCAACCAAAAAAAGAAAATATTCCAAGAACATTAATTTGTGCCTCTATTGTCACAAAATCAACATTCACATGGTGAAGGGCTCTACGAATTGTTTATAAATTGACCCCTTAGCTTTTTAAATAAGGTGAAGCTGTGTTCACTTCACTTGGGGGTCATAGTCAAGCTTACTAAATTTAAACTTGTTCACGTTGGAAGTGAGGCGATTAAGAGGGGACATGATGTTTAGTGGTGATGGCAACATCAGTAATAAACTTTTTACTCTAAGGCCTTGTTCACACCAAGCGTGTTCCAGGAGCAGAGCAGTTACAAACCGGAGCAAAACTGTGTTCAATGTATTCCAATGGAATTTTTAGCTCCAGTTCACATCGCAGCGTTCCGTTCCAGAGCAGGTAAGAAAAAACTGCAGCAAGCCCTATTTTACTTGCTCTGGAACGCACTGAACACCCATTTTAAACTTAAAATGTTTTTTTTTTTCTTTTCTACCAAAAACGGCCCGGAACGCATCAAAAACGCGGCAAAAAACGCAGCACAACCCACTGCACTGAGTGTGCAGAAAGTCATGCAGATCTGCTCTGCATTTGGTGTGAACAAGGCCTAAACTTCCTAACAAAGACTAGAGGCCACTACCTAAAATTGGTGGACAAAAAAAGATGTAACCACAGAGGGCGTAGGGGTTTCTTTTCCGTTAGAGCAGTTAAAATCTGGAACTCGCTGCCACAAGCAGTGGTATCAGCAGTGAGTATTGAATCATTCAAAAAGCATTTAGACTGTAACATACAGGGGTTCAGGTACTCTTAAAACAAGATCACATAGGGATTCGTGTATACGCATACACATGCACAGACACACACATACACACAAAGGTTGAACTTGATGGACCTGTGTCTTTATTCAACCTCAAATACTATGTAACTTTAAATACTCAATCATATGCAAGGAAAGAATTAAAAACAAAAAAACAACTTGATTTTTGCTTAAACGTGATTGGATGATTAGTGAACACACCTTCACCTTATGTATTAAGATAAGATAAGATTTGCCAAGTGAACAGTTTATATTTAGTAAATCATTCACATTGTGTTCCTAAACCACATATTTCAGAATCCAAATGTAGCTGAAATCACTTTTTATTTTTACTCTCTTTAGTTCCAGAACTATTAAGTAGAAATCCTAGTCTGCCCTATAGCAGCTGTTGGGACTTGTAATGCAATGCAGCAAAAGGTGAAAGGTCACAAGAAAACTCTGTCTGCTGCCGCAGCCTGCGTCTCTGTCTCAATATATATTCAGCTGTAGTTCATAGCAGTCACTTATTCTTTATAAAGGTATATATTAAAACCTTCAATCTGTCACTAAAGCATTACAGCACAAAAGGAAAACCCATAATAATATGCAGCTCACTCTATACTACGTCCTAAAATGACCTCTACAATAAATACATGGACTGCTGAGTTTCTTTCACATTTCACAATCCTATTTCAATGCAGTAGATTTATTTTGTTCCAGCAGCTTTGGACAGCCCCACAAGAACATGCATTTCGTGTACACCAAAGATTATTACAAGCAGCTGGCTGTGATTTAGCAGTACAACATGGTGTAATTCAGGTCAGCTGCAACAATGGTTAATGACTGGAGAATAGAACATGTACTACGGTACCAGAATTATTCTGTGATTCACTTTCTAGAACATTTATTATAGGAATCATTGCAGCAACTCATTAGAATTGAAAATAGCTGTGTTCTAAGGTTTTATGGAGGAAGCTTGTTTGCGTGTAATGTTTCATTTATTGTAGAGAGACAGGGCACTGCAGAGAGCCAAATATTACTTACTGCTGTAATTATTTCCAACAAGCTAATATTATTTTGCCACAGGTTTGTCTTTTTGTAATGGACCATATACATATAGTATGGAACAGAGAATCCAAGTATTAAATATAAACACCTGACAGTCACTTCTATAGATTAGAAAGGCTACGTATCCTTTGGCTCTAGACATTTATGTAACTCTCAGCTACCAACAATATGATTTTTCAGAAGACTGATGCAAAGCACAGTCAATAAATGTATATATTCTTATGAAAGTATCTAATCATCATCACTAGATAAAGTTTTGAGATTTGATTGTTTTCTTTAAGTGGATTGGCACAATAGTACACATGGCTTCTGGAAGAGATAGGGACCATGGGGATGTTCATACACTCTGGCATATAAAATCTATATAATCTTTGTCAATCTATGTTATGTTGCTGCTACAAATAAACAGCAGAATATGCAGAATAGGTAATAAAGTCTATGTACAGTAAATTGCAAACAGACTTTGTTAGGTTAGCTAGACATGTAAACTGAAAGCGACACTAAACTCAGGAGTTAAATCTTAAAAATGCATTCATGTACCTTAACTATTAACAGAAATGTATTTTATTTGTGTATCACTCAGCTGTAGATTCCCAAATCATCTTGAAATTCATAATGACACTGTCCTTCCTTCTGGAGGGTGGCTACTTTTGTTCTCCATGGTCCCGGTGTGTGATGTAAAGTAGCCACCACTCCAAGCTCCATGAGGGCTTGGAGTGGTGGCTACTTTACATCACAGGAGGGAGCTTGTGGCTACTTTACAACACACACAGGGACCATGGGGAACAAAAGTAGCCACCCTCCAGAAGGAAGGACAGTGTCATTATGAATTTCAAGATGATTTGGGAATCTACAGCTGAGTGATACACAAATAAAATACATTTCTGTTAATAGTTAAGGTACTTGAATGCATTTTAAGATTTGACTCCTGAGTTTAGTCACACTTTAAGTCTGGTTCAATAACTTTACTTTCAATCTTTCAAAGAACTCAAACACAGGTGCCACTATAGGTGGTCGTAGGATGGTCCACATGCAGACATAATCCAACCACCCTCCAATAATTCTAGTCTCTGTTTTGGACACAGACATGAATGCTCGGTTTGCCTGAGCATACTTGTATAACTAAGGAGCAAAAGGTGCATGCAAGCAGAAATCTGTGACATTTTCAGGAAGAACAATTACAATATTTTCCCTGGGAGTAGCAGGCATCTGATTCCACCATGAGATTGTCTAACAATCTGACTATATTTGTATATGTTTTATTTACTATATGCAAAAAGTGCAAGCATATTTCTATATGAATACGTTAACTGTGTTTTTTGCTGAAATTCTGCTACCATGGTTCCCAATGCCAGAAGGCCTCTTTCGGATAATCAGGTTTGCGGTTTTAAGCAGTTGTGACACAACTTTCAGTAACCTCCCCCCAGAGAATGTTGCTACTGCATTAACTCACCTCAACCTCTGCTACAGTTGGCTCTTTATTGAAACACATGTTCATGACGTTTCTTGCTGTCCTGAAGAAAGTGGTGAGAGACATCGACCTTCCCTGGAAACAAAACAGATTGTGAATACCACCCAAATGCTTGCAACCTGCTGCTACAGCTATTCCAGGGAACCCATTCTTATAATACGTGACATCTCATTTCATAATATTTTTTTCTCTCCTTTAAGTTCAACTCCAGCCTTCTATATTTCCCTAGTAACCATTCATGACCAGAGATGACTGAAGCTTGAATACTCAGGCCATATTTAGCAGGGTCAATTTACTTGACTATAAAGGTGGTCATACACTGTACAACCCTCGCAAGACAAAAGCCACCTTTATAGGTTGTAAAAAAATGAAAAAAAACGTACAATCTGTCCATCTTGGACAGGCAGATTGTACTGCAATGCTGAACGGGCAAAGTGCGCGTGCGCACACAGGCCTGTTGTCGAACAAGCACACCACTAACCTGTCGAGAATCGTACGAACGAGGGTTTTCCAGCCTGCTTGTTCGATGGAAGACGTGCGATCGTACCGTAGAAACGGTCGCACGCCTTCCATACACTGTGTGATCGTACGATCGCGGGATTTCCCGCGATTATCGTACGATAATCGTACAGTGTATGGTCACCTTAACTCTGACTTATTTGTAATTTTCACAGCAGGGTAAGAGAAGTAGAGACGCACACAGGTGCCCATACATAGTTCTCTACTGCAACGTTGATTAATGCATGTGTGTGTAAATACTTCAAAAGTTATTTACAAAAAGGCTAATATCCATGTATGACATAAGTCATGATTAAACGTAAATGCCTAAATAAAACTCAGTAATGGTATAAACTGGACAAGTTGAAGCACAAATCAACTACAGTAAACTGTTATCCAGTATTCAACTAACCAGAAAAAAAAAATCCCGTTTGTACTCACTGTTCTGCGGCATGTATTATCCTAACGATTGTGTGCCTATTAGTCTTAATTTGTTTTAAGTGTGTCTATTTGCTTTTGATGACTGAATTTCAATATTAATATGAAATCAACACGGAGTTTATGTTATGATATGGTATAGTATTGGGTATGGCATTAGTTAGACCTATTTTTAATAGTAAATCTCAGTTAACCAGAATCTATATTTATCCAGAATCTACCAATTCCCATGGATAATGGAGAGTTTACTGTAATTTGCATAGGTCTTGGTTTCTAATTCACAGAGCTTTCAAGCTGGATTTCCTATCACCACAACCTCCTTCTGTTTTGTCTGGTCTGCTTTAGTTGAGTACATACTGAAATTCCAGTTATTTTATGGAGTAAATGACATACACTAGGGAGCACTGTACAATGCTATTACTGGACCCTGACTTACCTTGTAGATACACTTGTGCAGGTCACCAAATAAACCTTTATCTTCAGGATGCTCCTCAGTGTATTCTTTTTCCAGAGTAAACAGCCTCCGCCTGCCATTTTTCAGAGGAACATCCATCTCTTTTAGCTTACCACGTAAGCCATTGCGGTGTACAACTCCATTAATTAATCCATTTTTGGGCTCGTATCTAGGGAGCAAATGTAATCTATAGGAGTTCTCAGTTTGCCCTTCCAGTGGACCTTTCTTCTTTTCCAGGTTTTCTTTCTCCTGTAGAACTTCTTTCTCCAGTTTTTTGTGCTCCTCAGGGGAAAGAGAGTCATATGAGAGGAGGTACTGACAGTAAGCCTCTTGCAGTTTTGCTAGCCGGTCCTGTGCGGTTTTTGGGATTCGAAGCATGTCTGCCAGTTTGTTCCATTTCTTGAGGTCTGTCACTTGCTGCATGCCACCCATGTCATTGATAAGTTGAAAAAACTGAGCCAAATCTAGCTCACAGCCTCCTGTGTGGAGGTTGGGAGGAAAACCCAAAACAACAAATTAGAAAATTGCAATGGGGTCACTTTTAATAACAGCATAGTTTTGGATCCTCTTCTAATGGCATAGAGTAGACAACCTTCAACACTTCAGTGACTGCACAAATTGTGGCTTACGTGGGGACAAATTTTGGAAAAGTTGAAACACAATTCCAGCCCAAACTTGTTTTTAGCTTTCACCAAGGTGATAAGAGTCAGAACTTCTGTTAAGTGTTTATTGGTTGCGTCGCCATTGGAGCTCTTGCCCTCATTTTCTGTCCCAGTGACATGGTATTACTAAGATAGGAATCAATGTGATTAGGGATGTTCAGATACCAGTGCCGATACTTGGCATTTTCACGAGAACTACCAGGGTTGCAGTGGTTGCAGCTGGGACCTGACCCTGGCTCCCCACCACTGTCCTGAAATCATTAGTCTGTATTGTTTTAGAAAAACTGTCACATAAGAATAAACAAAAATGTATCAGTACTTGTATCTGTAAGTACTTGGACAAGTATCAGTACTTGGAAAAATGGTATCGGTGCATAACTTGTATATATTTATTTTTAAAAAATAATACATTGTACAAATCCCAGGAGCTCCGTATGCTCCTTGGTATCTGAACATCCCTAAATGTGATAGCTCTTTGCTGTGGCACAAACAAAAAAATCACATTTATTTAGTAACATGGGAAAGTATTATAACCTTTGTCAGGTTTTGTTTCCTCTTGTGCCAATAACACCTGCACATATAATTGTAATTTCTTGTCTTAGTATCACTGGGACAGAAAAAGAGGGGAACTCCCCAATGAAGACACAAACAACAATAAAATGATAACTGAAGTTCCAATACCATTCTTTAAAAAGGAAAAAAGGTTGTTAATCTATGATGTGCAATTACATATTGGTAACTCTTTATTCCTCATACAAGTCATCAATTAAAAAAAGAAAAACGGACTACAACATTTACGAAGTAGCGAAAAGCAAAAGCATCATCCATTTCTCAAAAGGTGGAAGGATAAAGAGTTCTAGCTTCCCCTATAGAAAAATGGCTCCAAAGCAGACAACAGTATCTTGAATTTGTATGGATGTTTAAACCTAGCATTGACTGAAGCATGTTTTGTGGTATGGATTGTTAAATTACAATCTGCTCTAAAGAAGCATGAGTAGAAATTCTGTATGGACTATTACTAATCTCTGCGGTACATCTTAAGTGCAAGTTTCTTTTGTTAAAGAACAAAAGGATTCTCACAAAGACAAAGCTAAGGTCAGGAATACTGGGAGACACAGGGGAATATTTTCTAAAAAGTCCTCACAATCCAAGGCAGGACGCGCACAAGAAAGCAACAGGACAAAAAAGGATTGGCTTACTTTTGTTTCCCAGAGGTTCTGGGATAACCATTGAGACTTACCACTTACCAAAAGGTCTTGACTAACATTAGGATTGACTTTGGCCGTTGCCCATTTACCACTTGCAGATAGCAATACACTGCTGGACACCAGACATTCTCAGAGGTGCATGCTGGTATCTCTTCCACACCATTGAGCGGCAAAGATACACTGCTCAGGACACACTCTGGAGATCACTGCACTGACGGGTGCTTCACTTGTCGATTATCCCCAGAACAGCAAGGTAAAGATTATAATACATAACACCCATTCTGTCTCAGGGCCAGCATGGTGGTGATGTATTAATAATAAGGCATATATATTATAAATTGAAGAGCTGAATTCTGAATGCGGGAACATAATGGGGCCCAGTCTTCTTTCAGGACAAAGCGCTGTGAAAGATTCTTGAATGCCTAGTAGGCACATCAACACAAAGAAACAGAGAGAAATCAGTTTAAAAAAAAAAAAGCCTTTAAAACATTTGTGGGTTCTTAGGGAATTCCACATATGTGCGCAGGGTTGTCACAAGGGAGGAGACAGCCGTAGGATCACATCCCAGGGCCAAAGATTTCGGGGAAAGGAACCTGATGCCCTGTATGGAATAGAACATTCCACTGTAAGAGTTGAATCTAGAATTCAAACCGCTTGAAAATGAAGGAAAAAAAAATAATAAATACTCCTGTCTCTTTCCACCCACCAACCCACATCTCCTCTAACCTATAGCACTTTGTGTGCTGAGTTCAAGGTCTACATCACTTAAACCCAACAAAAACTTGTGACAACCCTTACTATATATATATATATATATATATCTGTAAGATATATGCATGGTAGTGTCAGCATACAGAAGGGGAACAATATGACTTTAACAAAGTTCCATTTTTGCACATTTTAAAACAGCAGTATTCAGGTGAAAAGGTTAATATTTACATAATTCTAAAAGAAATACTTCCAGGTCAAACTCTGCAAACATGTTCTTCTTTCTTCTACCTTAATGTAGCACATTCAAGTCAAGAATATTTTAAAGTCCATTTCCACATTTGTAAGTGATTATCATTGTAGTAATGAAGAGGTGGAGTGATGATGTACACCTATGCACATTTTCATGACTCACATTGCAGGCTTTCTACATTTTTTATGAAGGTTTTATTAGGCCAGAAGCCAAAAAATTCAAAATTGTTCTCTACAGCAAAATCAGTCTGACACCACGGTGTCACACTGTAATCAGCTACCCCCCTACCTGTCACCCATTGTAATATGATCAGTAAACACCAGCTCTGCCTTTACATACAATACACTGTCTGGAGGGAAGTGGGGGAACATACACACATTTCTTGCACAGCACAGTGGCAGAAATATGAAAAGGAAAGCTAACAAAAAAGTCAATTTCTGTGTTCATATAGTTAATCGGCTGCCTATGCCTGCTTCATGTAAACTCTGTGTACAATGCTGGCATATGTTTTTTAAATACCTCTGCAAAGGTGGAAATGGGCTTTAAGATTCTTGCAATCCATGGCAGAATAAAAATCGGTCAGGGCTATATATGGGCACTTGGGAATAAGCTTCAACTGTTGTAAAAATGGAAGTAAACATTCACACACCCTATGTCTGTGCTGACCCACAAGCGTATTCATTGCAAGAGATGTGATTCAAAACCTGAACCACCTTAGTACCCTGATAAGCACTTTGATTGACCTACTTTGTCTGCTGTCGAAATCAGATTCAACCTTGTAAGACAAATGTTTTACATTTGTCTTAGACTAAAATGATCCAGAATAGCAGACAAGAGAACTACAGCAAAGCATTTTTGAAGTGTAGTTAGTGAAAAGTGTTAGGCCCGGTTCACACCTGAGCGTTTTGCAGCGCATTCCTACACTCTGCAAAACGCTCAAACACCGAAATCCCATTATTTCCTATGGGTATAGTTCACACCTGGGCGTATTACAGGCCGTATGAACGCGCTACAAAACGCCCAAAGAAGTACAGGAGCTTCTTTGTGGTGTTTTTGTCGCGTATTTCCATTGGGATACAGCCAAGTAGCCCTCGGAAACGCGTGTTTGTTGTGCTGTTTTTACCGCGAATCGTGCGACAAACGCGTGACACAAAAGGCGAGACAAACACGCATATTCGATACGCTTGGTGTGAACCCAGCCTAACAGACTGAGGGCCAATCAAATGCAGGTGATTATTAAGGCTCCAAGATTGAGTAGGAATTGAATCATGTCCCAAAGACATAACAAAAATCTTGATTTAACCTGGATGTGAAAACCAGAACAATTCCAGTGAGGATTTCAAATGAACATCAGAGTACTAATTGAGACATGGAAACCATGTGAAAAACTGAGGGGAATATGTACTATATTGATTACTAAAAAAGCTCAGTAGATATTTCTGTAACCAAATGAACCACCATCTACCTGTAGTAAAAGACAGAATATTCAATTTACTTAACACGGATTTAAAGTGCATCAGTGCTCAGGCTTTAGCCATTACAGTGCTTACATATTCTTAACAGGCAGTTAAGGAGCTTTACGAAATGCCATTTCTGACCTCTATAGCTGCCTCTACTGTGAAGTATTGAACTCTCAAAGATCACAACAAAGTACATTTGGTAAAATGCCAAGAAACTATTAGTACATTGCTCCCCCTGTTTTTAATGTCATAAGGACCCTACAAAAAGTAGGGAAAGAATAGAAAAATAATTAATGCGGCTAAATCTATTGGTGTGGTCAAACACGGTGACTACCTTTTTTGCAAGCACGCTTTGGCATAACGATTATGTGGCTTTAGCAAAGCAACCATAGAACAACATGAATAAAGATAAGTGACCAAGCACAAAAGAGTGGAAAGAGATGAGGATGAAAGTGATGTGGCATAGATTAACACAGTGGCAAACTATCAGATATGTAAATATTCTTTAAAATAAGATGACGTGTGAAGTCTAACAAATACATAGACTAGGATCAGATATTAAACATGACGCATGAAAATCGAGAGATGACTAAAAGGCTTAGTGCATTTCTAAATTGACATTCCTTCTAAAGTTAGAATTTATCTAATGAAGATTTCATTTTACACTTCGTAAAATCATTAATATTTTTGATGATCTTGAAAGAAGATATACATTTTCACACATCTTTTTATGCAATCAAGTGCAGTTTTTGGATCACTACAGAGGAACTACACAGATGACAGAAAGAAGAGACATTGGGAAAAGATGTGTGAACTGTTATCCAGTGTTATGGAAACTGTTTGCAATAAACAAGTATGACATTAAGCGCAGAATTGTGGATTCCACTCTATTAATCCTGTTTAAAACAGAGCTATTGTGAAGAAAGAGTCTAACAAGCACGTGGATCATAGTAATACGCTCACCTATGAGTGGAAGTTCATCCATGGTGATACCCTGAGATTTGAGATGCTTCTTGATGCAGGCCAGCCGCTGCACATTGGGACCCCAGCGTCTACCAAGCTTGTGTATGTGTTGAATCTGCGTTACAAAGCGCATTTCATCATTCAGCTTGCACTCAGGTCTCCAGTCTGGCGGAGGGATTACTGTACACATGCCATACTTCTCCACTTGGGCTCGGATGGACTCAATGTAGATCAGGGGATCATGAAACTCCTTGGCAGAGGGTTGGAGGACAGGGATCTCACACATGGATACACACCTGGCCCTCTCAGCTTGTTTTTCTGGCTTAGGGTCAAGAGTTTTGTGCGAGGCATCTGTCTGCGAGGTAGAGCGATTTTCACTGCCAGCATCTTCCGTCTTGCTGTGGGTTTGTGTAACTGAAGTGCTCTTGGCTGTTGAGGCCCGCTTTGGCCTGTTTCTCTCTATCATCTTCTCTGGCACTTCTTTCTTTGTGTGTCCATTAAGCACCGGTTTCTCCGCTGCAAGCCTCTTGCTTCTGACTTCAGGCAAGCTGGCGGATACTTTAATTTTTTTTACCAAAGGCTGTGCCTCGGTGGGGTGGTTTGCTTCCTCCAGACGTCTTTTTGAATTACGCAGTCCTTCCCTTAACTGCCTTCCCTCCTCCCTAGTGCACAGCTTTTTGCTCAACCTGCCATTCATCTTGGCACAGTTAATACCAGTGGCACAGTTGGCCTTGGATGTGGAAAGAGATAGCACCTGTTTACGAGTTTTTGCATTGCTGCTTTCTGTGGTCCCTGAGATTGTGTGAACAGATGAACTGGTTTTGCTGTGATTCAGTTTGGTTGCCTTGTCCAGTTCTTTCTTGGCTTTGGTGTATGTGACAGTTCCCTTGGTCACCGTTGCAGTATACTTCACAGTTTTGGACGGTGAAGGTCTCGCTTCTCTCGTCTTTTTGGCACCGACTGCATTAGAACCCGATGATGACAATCGAGTAATTCCATTCACCTTGGAAACCTTAAAAAGTGTGCAGAGAACAAACATGTAAGAATTCAAAAAGAAAGCATGAATTCAACTATACTTCTTGGAACTGTTTACATTATGCTTTATAATGTAATATTCATACTGTATTGTAGTTCTTCTGGTGTGTCACAGCCATATAGACATGTGAAAAAAAAAGAATAATCTGTTAAACTTTAAACACCAAGAGATATCAATCCAATAATACATTTTCCTTGGCCTCATCTTCTTAGAAAAAGCTTTAAAAGGAACTTCAGGTCTGAATAAAAACCTTTCATCAATTTCTAATAGCAGTACATTACATCTTAAAGAACTAGCTTAATAACAATCTATAATACGATGCAAATCAGCGGACCTCCCAAACCTGTGTACCAAGGAATTGCATCTTCATGACAAATGGATGATAAGTGTATGATAAGTGTATGATTGTGGGGGTCCAAGTGTAATGGATATGTATGTTAGTATTATATATTATACACTTGAATTTGTTAAAAATGATTTCAATGACCTTCCCAAGCTAAGCTGAATTTACACTCCTACACCAGCAGCGGTTCACTTCAGCACTTCTCTCCTCTGCAGACAAATTCTTTTCATTGCACAAGACTGAAGATATTTGTTTTTAAGTAAACACTGGAGCGGACCACAGCTGTGATAAGACAGTAAGTAAGTAGCTGGGGTGGTGTTGGTTAGGGCTGGGGGATGGCATTAGTTTGAAGGTAAGGCTTGTAGCAAGGAGGCGCACCATTGCGAAGGAAGGTAAGGGAGATGGAAGGGAAAAACCTGGTCTGCAATCTAAATCAAGGCATCTATATTTACAGAAATAAATAGTTCTGAAATGTTTTTCAGAACTATTAATTTGGCAAATGCAACATAAGAAAAAAGTTAATAACCTACATCCGTCTGAAAAATAAGATGTTTCAAAACTAAATCCTCTTAAAATATTGCCCATATCTTTCAGAATGAATATGCTCACAATGTAATACTTGCAAGCAGTATTAAAAGCTCTTCAGCACTACACGGTGGTGTTATGAATGCGGGTTGTGTAATCTGAGCATTTGTGTAGGGAACATGTGATCGGTGAAGTTCATGCTGGGTCACAGTAACTTAAGGGGAGATGCAAAATAATGAAGGCGTCCTATCTACTACCAGACCAGCCTGTCAGGCGAGAGGCAACGCTACTAAAGTTTCCTGCAGTCTCACAGCTTATAATTATGTATGTCTGTCTCCACTAATAATAAATTCCAGACGGTCTCTTTGTCCCCTGACAAACAGGAGAATATCTATTTACTGCTCTGAAACTTTTAAAGCAATCAATTTAAAAACTTCAATCTCTCTTCCCCAACGGCATTTTGTAAAGCAGCACATTCCGGTGCATTACAGAGACAAAAACTTTAAAAAAAGTCTACTTTCTTCTCTCGTGATCCATACAATTTCCAGAACACGTCTACTAGCGCACTGTTCCTTTAATATGATGTGCCCATCAAAATATTGACCAACAGGGAGGCCCAGGAGTCGGGAGTTCAAGGCAAGTTCTACTATAGGATTTAATAACTTTGCGTTGCAACCCACTGTAGATAAATTGTTGTGATGCCTTGCAGTGCACTCTCTAACACAATCTAACGCTGCAACACACCTGCATTAAAGAGCACCACAAAGCACACATACACAATGCTCGATGGTTTATGTTGCACTTAAAAAATGGTGCAGTATCTATTTTATCAAGTTTTGACAGCGATTTATTTTGGATAGGCTAGCACAACGCATCTCAACACACCAAAATGCATGCATTGAAGCGCACTGCATTCAGATGTGAATGAGACCTTAAAAAGAAATGTTCAAGACTTGCATAGGAATACGAAGTCACCACAATCCAGACATGCAATTGCATCTCCTAAAGTTATTGTGAAGGGCAATGTCACAGACATAAATACCAACATTTCTGGGCCTCACAGGGTCCCTTTGTGAAGGCAACATAGTGACTAATGTTGGCTTCAGAAAGGGACTCTGCAAGGCCCAGAAATTTCAGTATATACAGCATGTCTGTCACGCTATTCATCACAATTTGTGAGGTGCAATTACATGCCTGAAAGGGCTGGTGACTTTACAGCCCTTGATCTGTTTTTTTTTACGCGCAATACGATGCTATCACTTTGCACACCCACCTATTATTTTTGAAGGCCTGGTACTGCCAGGAGAGCAGCTTCCTATGCTAACCAATGTTTCACTAGTGTAGTGAAGTCTCTAGTAGAGAAACACAATGCCACTGTCAAACTAAGGAGGTTTTTTTCTTCCAAAACCATAGAAAATAAATATTTCCAGAAATTATTTGCTGCCGTGTCACAGAATACCAGCTGAGCATACTCAGTATTGTCTCAATTCGATCAGACCCACTTACTAAATTCCCCACTGCATAGTCTCTTTTCACTGGGTTTATAAAAAACACTTTTTGCCATTTCAAACATTCACTTTTTAAAAGAAATATTACTCACAATTTTGAAACAAATAAAAAATATAGCCTGGATAAACAGCTCAATACACAGTGTAGAGCTAAACCTTGGGCTGAAGAACAAGCTACTCTTGCAGTGTGGTCCCCTCCGCACAGCAAGGGTTAAATGCCTGTTTTGTCTAGAGGGGTGGAAATAAGGTGAAATATTTAACTCATTCCTGACTCCCGCAAGGGTCTTCTTCATACGACTAGTCCCTCAAAACCCTTTCCTTTGCTGCCAAACCGGTCATAGATCTCTGACATAATCCCATACAATGCAGGACCAGTAGCCCTGCATTGTACTCGAGGACTACAAAGGCTCAAACACATTCTGGGAAAGTCGAAGAGTGCTGACTGCCAGGGAAGTCAGAAATAAAGAAAGTAATTCACCTTATTCATCATCCCATAAACAAAATGAGCATTGTAACTCTTTGCAGTATTGAGGGGACCACACTGCAAGAGTAACTTTTTCTTCAGCCCAGAGTTCAGCTTTAAACCAAATGATTTATAATTCTGTGCACCTAAACTAGGGTTTTACATACACCTACCACAGGTGACATACTTATTTGCTGATTTCGCAAAGTAGCTTCCAGTGTCACCTCTCTGCCTCTAGCCTGTTTTTTGAATAACGGGTCAGCTTTGCTCAATTATTCTTCTCCTTCTCTATTCAAAACAAATTAAAACCTTTTGTGCTAAAATTGGTTGCTACTGATGATTGCACATAAAGGGGAATTTACTAAAACTGGAGCAGCTGCGCATGGCAACCAATCAGCTTCTAGCTTTCATTTTAAAAGATTAAGTGAACAAGCTGAAGATATAGTCTCACTGGTTACTATGCATGGCGCTCCAGATTCAGTCTGCTCCAGGTTTAATTAATTCCCCCATTCGCTTTTTTGCATGCAGCCTGTTCGACAATTTGCATAACATGGTTGTTATTCAAGCACACCCTATTGACCCTGAATTCCAGCTTTGTTATAACTAGCTTTACAACAGAACATGCAACTAAACCGCAACAAACAAAAAAAAGAGCAGGGTGGTAGAAGTGCATCTAGGGAAACATTGGCTTGTTTTACTGCAGGGTTTTCTTTGTGCATGCAAGCTTTCCTCTGGTTTTATTTCCCGTGCAGACGCGCCATGCACAGGAAAAAACTACACATGTCTAGCATAAAAAAATGTTAATGCTTTTAGTAACATCTGCTCTCCGTTCGCAGTGACAAAGCTCAGAATTTTAAAAGGACCTCTGAAGTGTTGCATGCTGGGATATTAGACCTTTTTCCGCTTACAATACAATTTGATCGAAATTAGCTAGAGGGAGGATTATATTCACAATACATATTCATCGAGCATAGCAAGGTTCATTTTCAAGGCTATTTAAAACAGTTTGATCGGAAACAAATTCAGAGATAATTCAAAGATGTATATATTGCTGTCATCAATGCATTGAAAACTAGGATTTTCTATGGCAGGAGAAAAAACAGTTATTTTTAAAATCAACCTAATAGCGTTATATGAAAGGCATGTAAGGGAATGGTACAAAGCACTGAAAAAAAGATTACAATACCTACCCATAAACCTCTGAGCAGTCCCTCTCCTGACACAAAGATTGATTTATAAAACTTGAGGGGAAAAAAGCATTGGTTACATAGGTTTTCCAGGATGCAAGTGTGAATTGCCCTTTTCTATTTCTGACCCTATCTTGCAGTAATGCAGCCCTGTACCTCTTTCCTTCTTTACCTCCACTGTTTTAGATTTTAGTAGCAGCAATTAACTGGCTTTCTGTGATTGGACAAGGGGTGCATGAATGTCAAAATCACCCCCAGTCACAGAATACCTTGTATTATAAGAAAAGAGTGCAAGCCATTTTCTGAATGGAGGAGCTTCACATCAATATACTGTGATCGTTGTATCACACACACACACACACACACACACACACACACACACACACATATATATATATACATACACATACACACATAGAAAGGGTAAACACTGCAAGTAAGCATTTCCAATGCTAAAGTACAGGCTACAACTGCCACTGCTGACTACCTTGCCTCGTCTCTGGCTTGCTACATACTAGGGATAAGCATGCTGCCAGCAAGGTTAGAAATTCTTATTGGCATATTTGTTACGGGGTCAGTGAATACAAAATGGACAGATGCCACTGCATTGTCCTAACAGCTAAGCAAGTAGTATTTACAGAAGTAGGTCAGCAATGACAGTTCTCATTTTCTTCTCAGTGCAGGTTTATTTACCAGCCTAAGCCGAGTCATTTCTGCACTCTCAATACTAACTACACAAAGGTGCGCCACTGTTTGCTAAGATGTTCTGTATTGGTGATCTAATCTGTCTAAATATTAGAGTTTACATTCATTACAGTGAGAAATGGCAGCTGCCAACATGTCTAAATATCAAGCAGCACTGGGCACAGCAAGGCCCTTTTACGCTTCTCAAGTAAAGATACAATTTGAATGCACTAATAAACACATGAAAAGTAAGATTAAAATAGAGTTTAGAATGTGCATTCAAGTAGAGTTGTCTGGTGGCCTCACTCACTAATAAGGGCCTCAGGATGTTGGAGGGGAGGGCTCGAATCATAACATTACCGGAAAATATTGCGCTTAGGTATTTTTTCATCAAACGTACAAAAGTACAAATAGGTCATCTTTAGACTAGTTTGGTTTAAGGAATATAAAGTTTGAGCCCTGAATGGTGTGCAATCTTCTGTTCTTTACACTTTATCAATAGTCGTTTTTGCAACCTTTAAGATGACTGATGTGTCTAGTTTTTTCTAAAATACAAACACTACAAAGGGTTTCAATGTTTTGTGAAGGTATAAACAGCAGCAGAATAATTCTGTACATAACTTACATGATTCTTATGAAGCAAATCTAATATTTTGGCTCCTCTCATGCTCTGGTGTGCATTGAAGGAAATCGGTGCAATGTAGTGATTTCAGAACATCAGACTGTTTACCTTTTTTTATGAAGGTAATAGAAATGTCACAAAATGACATTTCGTTCTATTCACAATGTGGTGGTGTTAACTGACCTCATAGGAAACAAGGCAATTTGGCTTGTTTATGCATTAGGGCTCAGCTGTGCAAGGCTGCCTGGTACAACCTAACGCATCTGATGTGAAGCCTGTTGGCAATTAGACAAGGATGCATATTTGCCCACATGGGTACCATGATGATAATACTGGCCATTACAAGGTAAATGCACACTGTACACTGAAAGTCTTCAGGGCACCCCCTGCACATGGCGCTTCCACAAGCACTACTTTTTCTGAAGTGTGTATTTCTAAAGCATGAATATTTACTTGTTATAATACTGCAGGGTAAATACACTGCAAAACTGTTATTTCCAGTGAAGCACAAAAATTAACGCATTCAGCCTATACAAATGTTATTAATGTATTGTGTAAAGGGCTACTATTAATTTCAGCAAACACTGAACAGGATAAACCTCACACATTCCATGCAGCTTACAGGAATGCAACCAAGTCAGCTCTGTCACTGCAGAGAATGCTCACCTGTTTCCTTAAGTCCTGAGCCGATCTAAGATGACTGTGGTGGTTGTTAGCAGCGAGCCCTTTGGCATATGAGCCCGTGTTAGAAGCAGGTTGGTGGTTAGCAGCGGCAGACTCTATCCGGCTCTCGGCTTTATGGTTACGGTTCCTCTCTTTCCCTGGGGTGGTCTCTTTGCTTTTGTGTTTGTGAGACGTTTCTTTGTCCCTCGATGATTTGCAAGACCCGTTAAAAACTAAAAAAGAAACACCAGACACATTCAAATTGAAAAGCAATACTGCAACATCCAAAGATAGATAACTGCGCTTCTGACTATAATGAAAACTATGTATCCTGTAAAAACACATTTTAAGAAGTTGTGTAAAATATATGACTGAGCAAAGCATATAGAACATGTAGCAGCCGAATATTTATTAGTGCAAATTACATTCAACATGCCATAAACTTCTGCAAATGTAATAGATATATCTTCAAGTCACACCAAATTGGAGAAGTACTTCAAGTTTGTGTTATGAAAGAAAAACATATAATTTGAACAGATCAATTTACCCTTTATCTATGCTCCATATAAGATTACATGACCAGTCTGCTACCAATGGGTGGTTATTGAATTTCACATAGAAGTGTTTTTAGAGAGGCAATGAACAGTATGTTAACCCACTGAGTATCCTCATGGTTATATCACTATATTATCTCCAAGTAACTATGCACAGCTAGGAAATCTGCAGCCATCCAGATGTTAAAACTTAGCCGTGACTAGGTATTAATATGCCCAAGGCTAGAAAGCTGAATTGTACCCACCTTTTTCCAATAACAAAAACACCACTTCCAACTCCACCATACCATTTTTAAGATATATTTATTACTCTTCAATAAACCCATATGTCATTTACAAAGCATACACCACAGAGTAAAATGTATCTCTAAAGTTAGTGTTCATGAAAAGTTTTTAAAAAAAACACACACACAAAAAAAAAACAACTAGACCTAAAATTTTAGTGTGCCAATAGCCACAAGATGGCCAATAAGCTGACACAACTCTATACCACCAGAGTGCCTATATCTCAAAGATATCATGTCAGTAATACTTCTAAATGTACCCAATACTGTTCTAAATCTAAGGCCTCATTCACGCGTCAAAAATGTGGATCCAATAGATTCACATCCTTCCTCCTTTATTAAAGCTACCAAAGCAAACTACAATAAGCAGTGCAGGCTGCAATACTCACCTTTAATCTGAAACTGTACACTGCAGTACCTCTTATTTGTCATAAGATGTCCTTGGTCTTCTGGGTTGAGTGTGAACCCAGAAAACTGAGGACTCTACTGTGAATTCAGGATGTCATGGACCTGCCCAGAGGATGTGTCACTAAAATGCCCTGCATTAAAAAAAATGCTGGGGAACCTTCA